TGAACAAATGCCAGTATTCTTGCTGACACCAACTGTTGAAGTATCGAGGCCACCATTATCCATGAACAACTACGCTGGACTGGCCATTTTACCCGCATGGACGACAGTAGACTGCCAAAGGAGCTACTTTACAGTCACCTAACGAATAGTAAACGTAACACTGGCGGCCAACTGAAAAGATATAAGGATTGTCTTAAGACAAACCTGAAAAAGTGCCAAATCGACTCCGTCACCTGAGAGACGATTACTCCACACCGTAACGCTTGGAGAAGCACCACACAAGAGGTGTCAACACTTTCAAGTAGCCCGACTGCAAAACGAAGCAGACAAGCAGAAACGCCAGAATGACGCTGCCGCCGCCCCTCCCTCACTAGATGTAGCCCCCCACATGTGCAACGTCTGTGATCGACCCTGCCGTGGAGAAATACACGAACATGGAAAGGCAGCATTGTTCAAGCATCCACCAAAAAAAATCATGAACTCCGAACCCACTAGAGATTCAGATTCGTAAATGCTTCGGGTTCATGAGTCTGAATTTCTCTCTGTGCGTTCGACGTTCGACGCCAGAGGGACCTTTATTTCTTTTGCCAATACACGGAAGGAAAAAAAATATAATACCTGTTATTTTTTAGTTAAGTTAAGGTTCTGTCTTTTATTGATTACTGAAAGAGGTCAGTAATAATAGACCTCACTAACAATAGACACCAATTTGCATACCAACCCGCAATCTACAAAGTAGCCAATCACCTGTCTTCTACATCTGACTGAATTCCAATCCTCCATACCTGGTCATTATTGCTAGTGAGGTTATTGGAGGGTTAAAGGCAGACATTGACTACGACCTGATTCATCCACATACATACACACACACACACACACACACACACACACACACATACACACACACACACACACACACACACTAGATGTATTGTATTCATACGTCAATCGTCTCAATTTTTTCATTGTCAAAGTTGTCTTTTCCTGAATTGATTACCAGGTAATTTCGCCTCGTAGGTAATTGGGTTGTTTGGCTTTTCTGTCACTTTGTTCGTTTACTACGTTTTGTTCTGCTATGTGTGTTTGTTTGTTTGTTTCATAGTTTATTTGTGTTTGTTATTCTATGTATGTTTGTTTGTGTGTGTGTGTTTTTTTTAGTTCATGTATGTGTTTGTTAGCCTCGCAATTGACTCATTTATTGACTCATAGACTATATCTGACTCACAAATGACTCACTGACTCGTAAAGAACTGACCTACCAAGAACCTCAGTGACTCGTATACAACTTACTGACTCAAATAACTGACTCACAGGTGACTTGCTAACCCTCCACAACTGACTCACTCATGACCTACTCAACTGACTCACCTAACTGACTCATAGGAGACTTGTTGACCCCTTCACAACTGGCTCGCTCATGACTGACTTAATAATGACTCACTAATGGGTAAGAAAGTCAGCTCCACCTCTCGCTCGTCTCGCTGTCTGATCACACGACCACACACAGGATGTTGAGAGAGAGAGAGAGAGAGAGAGAGAGAGAGAGAGAGAGAGAGAGAGAGTAGGTAGAAAAAGAAGAAGGATGAAGGAGGGAACAGGAAGGAAGAAGAGGGAGAGGGAGGAGAAAGAAAGGAAGTGGAGAGAAAAGAAAAAAGATGAAACAGAGAAGAAAAAGGAAGAAGAGGGAGAAGGGAGATGAGGTAGGAAGAAGAGGAAGGGAAAAAGGGTAGGAGGAGAAGGAAGTGTAGAGGAAGAGAGAGAAAGAGAGAGAGAAAGAGGAGGAAGAGAGAACAGGAGGAGGAGGAGGAGGGAGGAGGAAGAGAGAACAGGAGGAGGAGGGAGTAGAAGGAGAGAGGAGGGCGTAGGGTGGGGGGGGGGTAGGAGCAGCTTTAGTAGGAGGAGTAAGAGGGAGGGAGGTAGGAGGGGGAGGTAGGGAGGTCGGGAGGTAGAGGTAGGGAAGAGGTAGGAAGGAGGAGGAAACAGGAAATTACGTATCTGCTTTATCTGTTACACTTCCATGCATCAGAGACCCTCAAAACAGTAACATCTCGCTGCTCAACTGAGGGTGGGCTAATCTTCAGGTGATCAGGATGAGAGTGGGGGCTAATCTTCAGGTGATCAGAATGAGAGTGGGGGCTAATCTTCAGGTGATCAGAATGGGGGTGGGGGCTAATCTTCAGGTAATCTAATTTTTTTTTCAACAGAAGCAGCTTAACGTGTCATTGCAAATCAAACTATAATTTAACAAGAAAAAAACAATAGTGCGAACTGTATCTAAAATCTTGGTCTGTAACATAAAGGAATCAATATTTACATAACGTTAAGCTGGGATCTGTTACGTTACTAGACTTGTTACGTTATAAGCAGTCAATGTTATGTTATGTTCGTTGTATCTTTATCAATTATCGTATTGGCTAATTTTTCCTTCCCTTTCCTCTTTCTTTCTTTTTTGTGACTTTTTTTGTGACCTCTCTCTCTCTCTCTCTCTCTCTCTCTCTCACAAAACACAAACACATAACAGGTGATATATACAAAATGACTGGCCAATCACCACCAGGTTAATTATCATCGTCTCTTACCTGACTGGCCAATCACCACCAGGTAATTTGTCCTAATCTCTCACCTGACTGGACAATCATCACCAGGTAATTCGTCCTAATCTCTCACATGACTGGCCAATCACTACCAGGTAATTCGTCCTAATCTCTCACCTGACTGGCTAATCTTCGAGTAATTTATCCTAATCTCTCACTTGACTGGCCAATCACCACCAGGTAATTTATCCTAATCTCTCACCTGACTGGGACTAATCACTACCAGGTAATTCGTCCTAATCTCTCACCTGACTGGCCAATCATCACCAGGTAATTCGTCCTAATCTCTCACATGACTGGCTAATCACTACCAGGTAATTTATCCTAATCTCTCACCTGACTGGCTAATCACTACCAGGTAATTCGTCATAATCTCTCACATGACTGGCTAATCACTACCAGGTAATTATCCTAATCTCTCACCTGACTGGCTAATCACTACCAGGTAATTCGTCCTAATCTCTCACATGACTGGCCAATCACTACCAGGTAATTCGTCCTAATCTCTCACCTGACTGGCTAATCACTACCAGGTAATTCGTCCTAATCTCTCACATGACTGGCCAATCACTACCAGGTAATTCGTCCTAATCTCTCACCTGACTGGCTAATCTTCGAGTAATTTATCCTAATCTCTCACTTGACTGGCCAATCACCACCAGGTAATTTATCCTAATCTCTCACCTGACTGGCTAATCACTACCAGGTAATTTATCCTAATCTCTCACCTGACTGGCCAATCATCACCAGGTAATTCGTCCTAATCTCTCACATGACTGGCTAATCACTACCAGGTAATTTATCCTAATCTCTCACCTGACTGGCTAATCACTACCAGGTAATTCGTCCTAATCTCTCACATGACTGGCTAATCACTACCAGGTAATTTATCCTAATCTCTCACCTGACTGGCTAATCACTACCAGGTAATTCGTCCTAATCTCTCACATGACTGGCCAATCACTACCAGGTAATTCGTCCTAATCTCTCACCTGACTGGCTAATCACTACCAGGTAATTCGTCCTAATCTCTCACATGACTGGCCAATCACTACCAGGTAATTCGTCCTAATCTCTCACCTGACTGGCTGATCTTCAAGTAATTTGTGCTAATCTCTCACCTGACTGGCCAATCACTACCAGGTAATTCGTCCTAATCTCTCACCTGACTGGCCAATCACTACCAGGTAATTCGTCCTAAACTCTTACCTAAATGGCACCTGCTTCCAAAACGTAATATTTAAAGACATAATTTACGACATTCAGAATGGTTATGTTTGATGGTCATTACCTGTCGACAGATGTACAAAGTATGTCGTGTTTGGGTCTAAAAGTTGTCGGTATTTTTTTTGTCGGGTTTCGGTGTCAATGTTGTCGGAATTTTGTTTTCTGTCGGGTTGTGGACCGAAAGTTGTCGGTATTTAAATTTTGTCGGGCGTAAACTATGTTGGTTTTTGTCTGAAAGTTGTCTAAAATGGATAGAAGTGTCTAAAATGGGATGAAGATTGTCTAAAAATGGATAGAAGTGTTCAAAGTGTATAGAAGAGTAATTTATATATAAAAGACTTTTATTTGTCGAAACACAGTCTAAAAGATGTCTATAATTCGTCTAAGAGAATCTGAACTGTCTAAGAATGTCTAAAATGTCCTGAATGACCTTAAAAATAGTCGCAAATGGTAAAATAAACCTCTGAAATCTATCTAAATACGTCTAAGATGTCTAGAATATATGTCTAAAAGCGTGTAAAATACCCATCTACAAAAAACTAAATTAGTTATATAATGGAATAAAATGTCTAAAATTTGTCTAAAAGGCGTTAAAATAGAGAAGCTGACTCATACTCGGCGCTGAAAGATTAAGGAAGTATCGAGTGTGACTGACAGTTGAATCTAACACGAGAGTCAGCCAGCCAGTTAGACAGTCACCCAAGCAGTTTAGACAGTCAGCCAGTCAGTTAGTCAGCCAGTTAGACAGTCACCCAAGCAGTTTAGACAGCCAGCCAGGCAGTTTAGTCAGTCAACCAGGCAGTTAGACCCTCCTACACCCCCATCTCCACACCCACCCCCAACCACCCCACACCCCCATCCTCCCATACCCCCACCCACACACCTCCCACATCTACCAAAACCCCCATCCACTCCCCCAAGTACCCCCACACCCCAAACCCACACACCACCACCCCCACACCCCAACCACCCCACCCACCACACCACCACCCCCACCACCCCACCCACACACCACCACCCCCACACCCCAACCACCCCACCCACACCACCACCCCACCCCAACCACCCCCCACACCCCCACACCCCCAACCACCCCACCCACACCCCCAACCACCCCACACACTCACTCAAGTACCGCACTCCTCCACACCTCAGCGTCAGTAACCGTAGAGAGTTCGTGATGATCTGCCGCCGCTGCCTCTGCTCTAGTCGGAAGTCGGCTGGCAGTCAGTCCTGGTGATTTGCCGACGATAGACCCGTTAGAAACATTGGCTGGTGTGTCGCGCGAGAGACTGTGGCCGTGTACGAGAGACAGTAACCGCGTACGAGAGACAGTAACCGCATACAAGAGACAGTAACCGCATACAAGAGACAGTAACCGCATACAAGAGACAGTAACCGTACACGAGAGAGAGAGAGAGACAGTAACCGTATACGAGTAATAGTAATCGGTAAATAATGACCGTGTTGTGCCGTATGAAGCCTTAAAGGAGATAATGAACCATTTGAAAAGAAGAAATTCAATTATGTCTCTCCGTTACAGAATTGTCTTTTGAGAGAGAGAGAGAGAGAGAGAGAGAGAGAGAGAGAGAGATAGAGAGAGACAGAGAGATAATTTCCTCTCGTTAGTAGTGTAGTGGAGTGAGGGAGACATCGGTGTGTGTGTGTGTCGTGGAGGAGGAGAGAGGAGAGCAAGGAAGTGAAGAAGAAGAAGAATAAGAAGAAAAAGGGTTTAGTGTAAGCGAAGAGAAGGTGTAGGAGGGAGGGAGGAGAGGAAGGGAGAAGTTCCAAGGAAGAAGAAGAATAGGAGGAGGAGGAGGAGGAAGAAGAAGAAGACTGTCTGGTGTTGACCTATATCTTCCTAAGCCGTCTCACTCACCATGATCCTCCACAACACAACGCCCTAACCTAACCCACTACATCTCAGGTACTCAATTTACCTCGTGTTAATATCCTTGGTCTAGCTCAGGTAAATTAATCTTGGTCTTGCTCAGGTAAAGTCATATTGGTCTTGCTGAGGTAAAGTCATAATAGTCCACCTCAGGAAAACCATAAGTCATATTGGTCTACCTCAGGTAAAACCATATTAGACTACACTAGGTAAACTCATAAGCTATATTGGACTAGCTCAGGTAAAGCCATGAACTATATTGGACTAGCTCAGGTAAAGCCATGAGCCATATTGGACTAGCTCAGGTAAAGCCATAAGCCATATTGATCTTGCTCAGGTAAAGTCATATTGGTCTTGCTCAGGTAAAGTCATATTGGACTAGACAAGGTAAAATCATAATACACAGTGGCAGATTAGACCAGAGGGCCTGAAAGTAAAGGAGATAGGGCCATATTCGACCTGGCCAGATAAGGACATAGTGTAGAAGGCCATAGTGATATTAGATACGATATAATGTACACAACAGGTAAGACTAATATCCAAGGCCATATTGTATTAGTTACAAGATGAAATAGGTTCACCTGAAGATTAACCACCCTAACGCTTCTTGGGGAGGTTAGCTTAGGTCAGCATCAGAGTGGTTAAGCTTCAGGCGAAATAAGCTGGGGAGCCTAATCTTAGGTGAAATAAGCTGGGGAGCCTAACCTTCAGGTGAAATAAGCTGGGGAGGCTAATCTACAGGTGAAATAAGCTGGGGAGCCTAATCTTCAGGTGAAATAAGCTGGGGAGCCTAATCTTCAGGTGAAATAAGCTGGGGAGCCTAATCTTCAGGTAAAATAAGCTGGGGAGCCTAATCTTCAGGTAAAATAAGCTGGGGAGCCTAATCTACAGGTGAAATAAGCTGGGGAGCCTAATCTTCAGGTAAAATAAGCTGGGGTGACTAATCTTTAGGTAAAATAAGCTGGGGTGGTTAATTTCCAGGTGATCCGTGATAATTAGCGTGCGAATAAGTTATATCAATATAGTAACAGGTGTAAACATATAGTTAATAGCGTTCATTACTGTCTCCGTTCAGGTGTAAATTACCGTAATGCTGTTAGGTGTTGCTGTCTAATGGTGTCTGTCTGTCTGTCTATCTGTTTTTGTACCGAGCTTTTTGTCTCTTTGTCTGTTCCTTTTTTATCTCTTTAATTCTCTTTCTGTCTCTATCTTTTTCACTGTCTCTCTCTCTGTCTCTTTCTTAGTTTATCTCTCTATCTGTCCTTCTGTTTCTGCAACTCTTATTCTGTCTGTCAGTCTATCTTCCTGTCTGTCTCTCTGTATTAAGACACAACGTCGCAAAATATACAAAAAGTCACTAACGTACAATACAAAAAAATACAAAAAACAAACACACAAACAAAACAACAAACAAAACAAACAAACACAAACAACAACAAACAAACACAAACAACAACAAACACACAAACAACAACAAACAAACAAACACACAAACAACACCAAACAAACACACAAACAACACCAAACAAACACACAAACAACAGCAAACAAACACAAGCAAAACAACAACAAACAAACACAAACAAAACAACAACAACAAACACACAAACACCACTCAGAACGACCAATGACTGTGAAGAATTGATGTAACCATATTATCAGATGCTGCGAACTCCCTCCTCTCCTCCCCTTCCCTCCCTCATCTCCCCTTCATCTCCACTCCTCCTTCCTTTTCCTCCTCTCTTTTTCCCTTCCCACCCTTCCCCCTCCTCCTCCTCCTCCTCCTTCTTTTCCCTTTCCCTCTTCCTCCTTTCTCCTCTCCCTTCCCCTTCCTTCTTCCCCTCCTCCTCTAACTCTCCTCTTTCCCCTTCCCTCTTCTTTCCCTCCTTTCCATCCCCCTTTCCCTTCTCTCTCCTCCTCATACTCTTCCCCTCTTCATCTTCTCTCTCATCCCTCTTCCCCCTTAGTTGTTAAAGCTCATTAACGCAACGTAACCACCAAATTATGCAAAGTATTTTAACAATTAATAAAAAATATCATCCTAGTGCTATCATCCTGGTGCTATCATCCTGGTGCTATCATCCTGGTGCTATCATCCGTGCTGGTGCTATCATCCTGGTGCTATCATCATCCTGGTGCTATCATCCTGGTGCTATCATCCTGATGCTATCATCTGGTGCTATCATCCTCGTGCTATCATCCTCGTGCTACCATCCTCGTGCTATCATCCTGGTGCTATCATCCTGGTGCTATCATCCTCGTGCTATCCTCCTCATACCATCCTCGTACTACCATCCTCGTGCTACCATCCTCGTGCTACCATCCTCGTGCTATCATCCTGGTGCTATCATCCTGGTGCTATCATCCTGGTGCTATCATCCTGGTGCTACCATCCTGGTGCTATCATCCTGGTGCTATCATCCTGGTGCTATCATCCTGGTGCTGCAGAAAACCATTAGTAATGTCGCTTAAGATTAACTAAAGGTGTTAAGGGCGGTAATAATCTCTGTGTGACCGACGTTACGACGTGGAGGCAAGACAGTGTTATGTTGTCACTACAGGCAAGCACTGGAGAGTTAAAAAGTATGTGTATGTATGTATATATGTATATGCATGAATGTATCTCCGTCTCCACCTGTTAATTCCCAGCCACATGTCATTAAGGCCATTACCCACCTGGTTACCTGCTGGTCACAGGTAATAAACATCAACCCTCATTGACACACACACACGATGACACAGGTAAACTCTTAACATTGATTGATACTCAGGTGACCCTTTACAGTGGTGATGGTAGTGGTGATGGTGGTAGTGGTGGTGGTGGTTATGATGGTGGTAGTGGTGGTGGTGGTGATGGTGGTGGTGATGGTGGTAGTGGTGGTGGTGGTTATGATGGTGGTGATGGTGATGGTGGTAGTGATGGTGGTAGTGATGATGATAATGGTGATTATGGTTGTGATGGTCGTGGTGATGGTGGTGGTGGTGGTGATGGTGGTAGTGGTGATGGTGGTGGCGATGGTGGTGGTGATGGTGATGCCGACGACGACAATAATAATAATAGTAATAATAATAACGGCAACAACAATAATAACAATAACAATAACAATAACAATAATAACAATAATAATAATAATAACAACAATAATATTAATAATAATAATAATACGTTTTAAGACAACAACAGCGACAAAGTTATTGAATTTCTTTCTCATTTCAACGAAAATTATAGAAACACGAGTTGGCAACATAACGCATACACGATATCTCGTAATGCAGGTTTATAGTCTGTCTGTCTGTCTGTCTGTCTGTCTGTCATCACATCTTCACAGAGACAGACAGACAGACACATCAACACACCTTCACAGGCAGGCAGACAGACAAACAGACAGACGGACAGATTAATACACACACAACCACAGATAGACAGACAGACAGACAGACAGACAAGAATAAGCGATGACGTTACACTTCCATGCACTGACAGAGTTTACATAGTGACACTGTGTTGAATAATCTATTGACAAGTCATTCATTCATTCATTCTTTCATCACAATAAACGACAAGCTATTGGGAGGTGAATGAAGTGAGTGTATTCATTAAGTCACGAATGTATGTTTCTTATTCATCATTATGAGTGTATAAATGAGTAATGAAATTGAATGAGTTCCCAGTCTGTGTGTGTGTGTGTGTGTGTGGTGAATATCTTCCGTAATGGTCACTGATGATACACCTGTAGTCTGTCTGTCTGGAGTGAATTACAGTGGTGATTCTTTGTTTGGTATGAATGAGTCTTTCTTTCTCTGTCTTTCTCTCTCTCTCAATCACCCCCATTACCCCCCTCTCTCTCTCTCTCTCTCTCTCTCTCTCTCTCTCTCTCTACGAGTCATGGTATTACTCCGCTGATTACCAAGAATATACTCAGGGTTGGTCACACAAGGTTCCCATGTTCTTAAGTAAATGTTGAAGTGTTGAGGTGGATGAGGTGGATGATGAAGGTGGATGAGGTGGATGATGGAGGTGGATGAGGTGGATGATGGAGGTGGATGAGGTGGATGATGGAGGTTGATGAGGTGGATGATGGAAGTAGATGAAGGATGTGGAGGTGTTGAGGTGCTGAGGTGGATGATGGAGGTGGATGAGGGAGGTGGAGGAGCAATAAAATCACTCTTCACAACCCTGAATTTTAATGTTTCACGAGCTAAAAACTGAGACATAATTACTTGAATTTAAATATCTCATTATAAGCTGAGACATAGAGGACTATATTTTAATGTCTCGCGTACTGAACACTAAGACATTAAGCCATCAATTTTAATGTCCCACTTGCTATAAATTGAGACATAGGATTTAAATATTAATACCTTATAACGTAGACATAGACATATAAAAACATGCATTTTATCGTCTCACCGCCTTGAAATTAAGACATATCCTATAACAAGTTCATATAACACTTACGCGTATCTGACCCTCCTAGTATGGCACTCCTAGTATGGCACTCCTAGTATGGCACCACAATGACCCTCTTTTATACAACCTGAAAGAAAATATTGATCCTTTAGACATTATTATTTCCACAAAAAACATTTCAGTGTAAAAAACAAAATCTAAAAAATATTGATACATAAAACCAAATTATTTTTTCAGGGGTCAGGTAAGGTCATGATTATGGGGGGGGGGAGGGGGAATCGAACCTATGTCCTCGTGTATGATTAGTATCGAACCAAGATTCCGGATATGCTGGAATTGGCGATCAAAACCCAAGTGGTAAATAACAACAATGACAATGACTCAGGAATCTTCACTACACACGTCGCCTGGTCACAGTTGCTTATGGTGGTAGAAGCAGCAGCTGTAGGAAGAATTGGCTACAGGTAATTGATAGTTGATCTTTCTCATTAGTGCTTCAGGTAACATGTCCCTCGACCACACCTGCCTGCCGATCTGTATGTGTGTGTGTGTGTGTGTGTGTGTGTGTGTGTGTGTGTGTGTGTGTGTGTGTGTGTGTTGGGAAATATCTGCGAACTCCATAAACGAACGCCACTGTAAGCAATACCCTGGCGAACGTTCGTCTAGCGTTATCTGCATAAGTGTTAATATCTTAGGAGAGAGGGCTGGCGAACGTTAGTCTGGCGTACTCTCCATACATGTGTGTCGATCTATGTATTGGAGTGGATGAGGATGCCAGACGTTGGCATTCGCTCGCACTGGCACTTATATCTCTTGAAAGCCATGGGACAAACGAGAGAGAGAGATTTCATCGGGCACCAAATGCCAATCCAAATGTATCTTAGGAACAACAACAAACCCCCTTTTCTCTGTCCGTCTGTCTGTCTATATCCCTCATCCTCTACCCCCTTTTTTCTCTCCCTCTCTCTCTCTCTCTCTCTCTCTCTCTCTCTCTCTCCCTCTCTCCCCCCCTCCCTCCCTCTCTCTCTCAGGATGTAGATAAAAGACATAAGCCATGGGAGGAATAAGACACGCGGGAGATAAAGGCTCTTGGGGCAGGTGAACGAGAGAGAGAGAGAGAGAGAGAGAGAGAGAGAGAGAGAGAGAGAGACATAACATCTCACCTGCAGGTAATGATAACAAGTTGGTCTGTAGTTCTCAACCATTGAACACTAATAAGCTCATAACTTACCTTCTGTTACTCCCTAATTATCCTCTTCTCTTCTCACTTATTTTCTTTATCTTTTATTTTATGTCTTCTTTTGTTAATTATATCCTACTATTTTTTTATTTATTATTTATTCATTTTTTTCCCTTTGTTTCCTAATATATTTTTTTGGGTGTAAATATTAATTAAATTTTAGAGAATCGAAAGGATTAAGAATTTTGGGGTTAGAATTTAGGATCTTGGGACATATTTGGGACACACACACACACACACACACACACACACACACACACACACACACACACACACACACACACACACACACACCAACCTAACAGTCTTGCCTACGGTGCTCGCTATTTACCATCTTGCGGCAGATGGCGACGTCTGCTGCTCCCACACAATCCTCTCCAGCCCCCCATCTTCTAGACGGGCGGACGTTCCAGCAAGCCGCCGCCGCCGCATGTTGGTGAGAAGCCCGCAGGTGAACTGGAGCGAAGACGACGATGAATGGTTGAGGGTGTGTGTGTGTGTGTGTGTGTGTGCCGACCATACTCTAATAAATGTTTTGTTTTACAGGCGTGATGTTGTGGCGTGTGATGGTGGTGGCGGTGGCGGCGGCGGGGTGTGGCGGGGTGATAGAGGCGGTGGAGATGAAGGACACCATCAAGGACCTGTACGAGGCGCCGCCAGAGGGCCAACAAGGCAGACTCTTCCTCAACTACGACCAAGCGGCGGCCTTCAACACCTCCGTCGCCTTCACCATCCCGCTCTTCTCCTTCACCCTCCCCGGGGCAGGAGACACCACGGCCGCTGGTCTAGACACTCAGTCCTTCGGTGCCATTGCCTTCATCGCCCTCTTCCTCCTGGGTGGCCTCGGGGTGGCCATTTACACCACGTCTCAAGGGGCCACCGGCAGACAGTTCTTCGAGGGGCAGAGTGACCTTCAGGAGTCCCTCTTGGCCAAGATAGTGACGGAGTCGCTGGCGGGGCTGCCCAACGTGATCGACACAAGGAGCTGCGCCCAGCTGGCCATCTGTGGGGCCTACGCCGAGTCTTCAAGATATGGATTCTTGGCCTGGCCCGTCAGGCTCCTCGTCCCGTAAGTGTTGGCCATCTGTGTTACGTCACTTATACGTCATCACGAACACCCTTCCCCATCTGTTACGTCACTTACACGTCATTACTAAGACCTTAACCTCACCTATGTGTGACGTCACTTATACGTCATCACTAACACCTTAACCAATGTTCTTAATGGACGATATTTTTCAACCCTCCAATAATTGTTTTTTTTAACCCTATCACTTAAAGTAAACAAGTAAACAGCCTCTAGTGGTGAGATAAAGAAGTTGTTTATCTCCACGTTACGAGACAAGAGAGAGACAGCGAGACAAACACACACTGTCTCACCCCTTACTGGGCCCATGGCAGGTCACACACTGTCTCACCCCTTACTGGGCCCATGGCAGGTCACACACTGTCTCATCCCTTACTGGGCCCATGGCAGGTCACACACTGTCTCATCCCTTACTGGGCCCATGGCAGGTCACACACGGCCTCATCCCTTACTGGGCCCATGGCAGGTCACACACGGCCTCATCACTTCTAGACTTACTGGGCCCATGGCAGGTCACACACTGTCTCATCCCTTACTGGGCCCATGGCAGGTAACACACTGTCTCATCCCTTACTGGGCCCATGGCAGGTCACACACTGTCTCATCCCTTACTGGGCCCATGGCAGGTCACACACTGTCTCATCCCTTACTGGGCCCATGGCAGGTCACACACGGCCTCATAACCATAACATGATACAGCGAGATACATTACACCTAACCTGACTGTTCTGGTCCACTACTCCCTTGACTGTTAAATCAGACACAAAAATACGTCTTAGATCCATGAAAATACGTCTAGTACCTTATTTCATACAGAAACCATAATAACTACCTGATTTGTGGGGATTTTTTGCTTGCTTACATACATACATACATACATACATACATACATACATACATACTGTCTTAAGGTTTTACATACATATATTTACGTAGATGTGAACGAATAAGTGATAAATATTCTTGGGTTATAGAGTTATGAGACGAGAATAGCAATGTGTCGTAACTGTACTAGACCGGGGAACACACACACACACACACACACACACACACACACACACACACACACCAAGTTATTAAGTCAAGCATGGAAGACTAACACATTTCTGTCTTCTCTGTTAAAACACTAAGTCACTTCCCATACAATTTTCTTCCTCTTGTAACGTTATTATTATTTTACTCTATAATCTTGGTCATTATACTAATCTATAACTACCTTGTTTTAATTAGGACCTTTAATTATAGTTCCGTATCTTTATCTCAAGTTATAGAATCGATGATATGAGAAGTTCAGGTGTCTGTTAGTCCTGTGTGTGTGTGTGTGTGTGTGTGTGTGTGTGTGTGTGTGTCTGTCTTCAACTTTAGTCTATTAGATGAATTTAAGGAAGCTAGAGACACTATCATACTTCTAGCAGTTCTCAATAGTTACACCACACCACACCACATACCACATTACACACCACACCACACCACATACCACACTACACACCACACCACACACCACACCACACTACACACCACACTACACACCACACTACACACCACACCACACGAATCTTGAATACGTAATCTGAGTTTTGAGCCTGTGAAGTAATGAGTGTTTAAAGTCACATGGATTTGAGGCAGCATAAGGTGGAAGTCAATTAGTACGTTCAGGTGTTGTAGCAATGTGACCAGGTAGAGAGAGGAGGGGGAGAGAAGAGGATGAGGGGAGAGGTAGGGAGGGAGAAGAGGGATGAGGGGGAGAGGGGAGAAGAGGATGAGGGAGAGGGAGAGAGGATGAGGGAGAGGAGGGGGGGAGGGGGAGAAGAGGATGAGGGAGAGGAGGGAGGAGGAAGAGGATGAGGGAGGGAGAGGATGAGGGAGAGGGAGAGGATGAGGAGAGGGAGGGAAGGGGGAGAGACTGGAGAAGGGAGAAGAAAGAGGGGTGAGAATTAGATGGGTGAGGAAAGAGAGGGAGGAGGTGGAAAGCAGGAAGGAGTGGGGAGGGAGAGAGGAGGAAGGGGAGGGTGGTATGAGAGAGGAGGGGGGAAGGAGGGAATAGGATAAAGGAGGAAGGGAAGGGAAGGAATGGGATAAAGGAGGGGAAGGGAAGGGAAGGGAATGGGATAGAGGAGGGAAGGGAGGGAAAGGGATAGAGGAGGGAAAGGAGGGAATGAGATAGAGGAGGGAAGGAAGGGAATGGGGTAAAGGAGGGAAGGGAGGGAATGGGACAGAGGAGGGAAGGAAGGGAGGGAATGGGATAGAGGAGGGAAGGGAGGGAGGCAGGTTATTAGAATTCAGAGGAGTACCAATATCATACACTTGGGTATTTGGTTATTTTCATATTCAACCCTGAGTACGAAAACGTGAATCCACTGAGTATGATGACAGCCCCTTGAGTACAATGATTAAACTTGAGTACGAACCCTTAACCTCTTGAGTACAATCAGTGAACCTCTTGAGTACAATCAGTGAACCCCTTGAATACGAAGCCTTAACCCCTTCAATAAGATAACCTGTTGCCCTCAGTAAGGAAGCTGAATCATGGCGCTCAAGGGGTTAAGACAGAAATTTGCATATATAGAGAAGATTATCCCGACACACTGACCCTGACGGTATGGCATCCCCCTTACTACCACTACTACCATCATCACAACCACCATTATCACCACTACTACCACTATTACTACAACCACCACTACTACCACAACATATCCTCGGAAATTATTCAAAAGGTCAAAAAACTTTATCAGATCTTTCATGACACTGACAGATGATCAACAGACACACGCCACAGGTGATAATATTGACCACCACCTGTACAGTCCACGTCGGGTTGTACACCTGACCCACTCAGGTGTGCAAATCAGGTCACCTCAAACCACCAAATATCTCTGTCTTCCTTCGTACATTTTTTATCACAAACTTTTTGGCGCTAATTTTTACTTTGTTGATAAAAACTAATTAAATTTATAATAATTGTGATAATTTGGTGGTGGAATAAAAGTGTTTAAGACAAGTCAATAAACCTGTGAGGAGTAAACCCGATATAATTATTAAACCATTATTCAAGACTAAAACATTTCACCTAGTTAAGAAGCTGTGCAGACTCTCTCACTGATCTGTGTGGCTTGACAGCGGCTGAGTGCCACAATTGGCCACCTTCATACTTGCGGCCACACGACCACAAACTTGTGTTTTATCAGAATATTCTCAAAATGACTCGAGTGTTTCATAAAACAGCTGCTCTCACAGTCAACACAAGTAATGTGTTACAACCTACAAATATTAAACTATTTCCTGAAGTAAACCAAATTCCCAGACACTGAAGTAAAACAAACCCCAGACACACTTAACACAATACCTGACCATTATTTTATTACACTACTACACTGTATCTCTAAGTCTTACAACATAATTCCTCTATACTTAATGTTTTTATGAAAAACTCGATTACCTGCTGAACCGGTTCCTACACAGTAAACATGTCTTAAAATAATCAAACTAACTCGTAATGAAAGTATCTCCTGTGACTGACCAAAAAAAGGTGAAGGTAAGATTTATTAATTTGCTCACCTGGGACGTGTGAGTATTAGTGGTTCAAAGGTTCGTTCCAGTGGTTCAAAGGTTCGTTCCAGTGGTTCAAAGGTTCGTCAAGGGTTCCGGAACATTTACTCTCTCTCTCTCTCCCACGTCATCTACTAATGGTGGTAATGGTAGTAGTTGTAGTGGTGTGGTAATGATGGTGGTTGTGTTGGTAGTACCAGTAGTAGTAGTAGTAGTAGTAGTAGCGGTGGTACTGATGGTGGTAGTAGTGGTAATAGTGGTAGTGGTGGTAGTGATGATGGTAATAGTGGTAGTGATGGTGATAGTGGTGGTCGTGCTCATCAAGAATCCTCTCCACCAGTGAAGTTCTTCCCTCCTTTTCAAACACCTCACTACTCACTTTTCCTCCTCACCTCAACACAACCTTTCTCACTTCTGCCTACCCCCCTCCCCCCAACCCTCATAAAACACCATAACGACCATAGTAAACGACCTCATTGGGTGATTTTCCTACGTACAGTCAACCAACATTGACCCCACCCTGTCTCTCTCATACCATTAGATTGATTCTACGATACATCTGACTACACTAAACTCTTAAATAATTACCAGATATAATTTCTAAGTTCCTATTTATTAAAATTTATTCCGATGATCCTGTAAACATTTCGAGTAATTCTTATTTTATATTTTAGTTCATCTTAGGGTCAGTTTGTTGTCCCATACGCTTTCGCTTGTCTGTGATAGTTATTAATATCTTATCATAATATTTTCTTCTCTTATACCATATGGCTTATTATTTACACAAGTCGATTATAATACAAAGGTAGAAAATTATTGACTGTTTATACGGGAGAAGATAATTGAGAGAGAGAGAGAGAGAGAGAGTTATCACACAACATATGCTGGCAACATAGACCAACATAAATTACAACATGAATACAGTTAATATTTTTGTTATGTTACCGTTGTTCCTAGTTCATGCGTGACGTGATGACTTAATCCCTTGAGTACGATGCCTTAAGCGCAATCACATTGAGTACTAAGATTTAATGCTTTGAGTACGATGATTTAATACCTTGAGTACGATGATTTAATGCCTTAAGTACGATGACTTAATCCCTTGAGTACTAAGATTTAATGCATTGAGTACGATGATTTAATGCCTTGAGTACGATGATTTAATGCCTTGAGTACGATGACTTAATCCCTTGAGTACAATATTTCAGCCCCCTAAATACAGCATTACAAACTCATACAGGTGAATACGAAGCGCGCGCACGCACACACACACACACACACACACACATGCAGCACACAGACACATATGAGTAACATGTAAATAAATATGACCTTGGTTTAAACATAATACATTTCTACGTCACACTCACTGGGGTAGTTAGGCAGTGGGGTAAACAAGGTGACATACTCAGCAATATCGTATTAAGTGTCGG